AAGCGCCAAAACACAAATGAGAAACAAAAGCAAGCACGTATGTGCAGGCAGGCAACACCTGCACATATGCTTCGACAAACTGTGAAGAATAGCCTGGGAATCAATGGAAAGCGAGAGGCAAAGGGCACATCAAGCTGTTATGTATTAGCGGTGTCAAGTTTTCGCCGTTGGGAGAGAGGGAGCTTGCAGTGCTTCCAGAAGACCCTCGCATTGCAACATTCCTCTCCTCACCTGCCTTTCTGCCCACCCTCTTCCCTCCACCAGCCAGGCCGCCCGTGGGGACCAGTACGCACAGAGCACACATCACCGGCGGAGCGCATCTCTCAACGTTTCGCTCCACATTTCTCCCCTTCTCGCTCTCTTTTTCTCACACACACACTCCATCTCTACTTGGCGTTAGTAGGGGCCACCGCTCCATCCACGACCCCTACCGCCGCCACCGCGTCCGCGTCCGCGACCGCGTCCCCGACCGCGGCCGCGTGCATTGCCACCGCCACCTCCGCGTCGGCTGAAGTTGCCCAAGCGTCCCCGCACCTCCGACACGTTCGAGTTAAGTGCAGGGTCGCAGAACACACATGCCACAATGCGATCTTTGCGGTTTGGAAGTGGCGACTTTCCTTCCGGAAACTGCAAATCCATCATCATGGCACCACACTCGTCACATTCCTCCGAGCTTACATACACACGCTGAGCTGTGGGGGGAAGCAGAATCATCATGGTGCAGTGATTGCAGCAGATCTTCCACTTTCCTGAGGTACGCGGCACAAATGCCATGCAGCCATCACACCGTTCATCGACGCAGTCGGCCACGTAGTTCGTGGCAAGAGAATGATAACATGATGGGTGTCGACACTCGTCGCACGCCATATATTGTCGTCCGTCGCGCTTTTGTAGGTCTTCAAACGGTGGGTTATTGTAGCAGTTCGGGCAGATTGGGAAAGACTTCCCCCCATCCACGTGACAAATGACGAGCTCAAAGTTGTCCAATGGACATTTGAAGCTAGAGTACTGTTTAATGGTTCCTCCCTGAGGCAGCATGTAGGTAATCTCGCAGTAAGGACAATACAACCGTTGTGGTCGAGCCTCCAGGTGCTTCAGATACCGCATGCAGTTTCCGCAGCGAGTGATGGGTTTGCCTGAAGCAGCAAGGGAGGAAAAGGAGGCTCCCATAAGGGCATCAAAGCGTTCAATGTTTTGTTTAAAAAATCGAAATTTACCAAAAAAAAGGTCCAATGAATAGGAAAGCACCTCATCCAGTGTAGCGGCGCCTTCGGCGATGCAAGTTACATATTCCTCCACCTTGCTTCGTACCAAAGGCAGCACCAGTTCTGGATCAATGCTCTTGATTCCATGTATCAAGACAACCCCAAGTTTGGTTGGCTCCATGACACGACCTGGCTTCACTGCACAGTAACCACGCTCAACAATGTTGTTCACGTGCTGTGAGATGGATGCATCTGTACCGATGCCGTTTTTCTCCATAAGTCCAATGAGGTCCGCCTCGGTCAGGTATCCTGGCGGTTGTGTTTGGCCCGCTTGCAAGCGAACATCCGAGATGGGAAATTCACTCCCAATCTGAATATTTGTTGGAACCTTGTCGTCCGCCACAGCAAACTGGGGAAGAATCGTCGTAAATCCCGGGTCCTCCACCACCTTGCCAGTAAAGCTAAACAATTCCCCACCAATTTCAACCAAAAGCTTTGTTCGGGTCAATTTACAATCAGGTGAAAGCGTGGCAATGAAATGACGTGCAATGTACTCATACAACCGCCATGAATCACCGGACAAGTCCCCGAGAGATGCCGAACGCATAGGCGTAATCGGAGGATGATCACCAGCGTCTTTGCCTGCCTTGGGTCGCGTGTGTCCGTGTGCAAGCAGCTCCTGAACATACGTGCCCCATAGCGGATTTCGCTCCTGTGCGGTGAGGGCGCTCATAAAGTTGAACGACGACGGGTACGCCGTGGATTCGGTGCGAGGGTAGGAAATGTAACCTCCAATGTACAAATTCTCCGCAACCTGCATGGCGTGATGCGGCCCCATCCCGAGAGCTTTGCTCGCCACCTTCATCAGCTCCACCGTGTTGAGGGCAGTGGGTCTCGCTCGTGTGTCGACGCCCACGGAGACGTCCACCACCTTCGCCGACCTGTGGCCGGAGACCTTCTGATGTAGCAGGCGTGCCATTAGCTCATCAAAGACACGTCCGCGAACCCAGTCAAATGTGAGTAAGGTTCCAAAGCGATTCGACACGGGCACCAACTTCCAATAGTTCTCTGGCTTAAAGTTCAATATCTCATCATGCCTCTGCACACAAAACGCCAGCGTTGGCGTCTGACAGGGACCGTAGCTGACCACGCTGGCGTCCAGATCGCCATATTTGCCTTGAAAGTACTTCGTCTGGTAGCGTGTGAAGGCGACGCCCACCTTCAGGTCCAACTCCTGCCTGCAAGTGACGGCGTCCGAAACGTTTTTATCGGGCTTGCCCAAGTGCGCAAAGGCATGGGTAATCTCCTCACGTGTGATGGCAGAGAATTTGGCGCGCCAAATGTCCCGCATATCGTGTATGCTTCGCCGAACCACCTGCATCACCTCAAAGCAGATATTTTCCCCCTCGCGGTCGCAGTCAAGCCAAAGCACAAGTGCGTCACAGCCTTCCGCCTCATTTGCAAGGTGGCGACTGACTTTGCCCGTCTCATCCTTCCAAACGACAGGGGCGCCAAAGAGCGTCTCTTCTTCTGTGCGATCCCAGCTCTGGTGCTGTGGAGTGAAGTCGCAGGAAAAAACGTGGCCGGTTGTGCTGGTCACCTTGAAATGGGCGGGGACGTTAAAAAAGTAGCCAGAATACTCGTAGACCGGCAACGCGCGTGGTCGCTTAGCCGACTGGCCATTGGAGAGATGAAAAGCAATGCTCTCTGCAAGGGAGGGCTTCTCCGCCACCATCAGTACAGTGCGACCCATTTGTCTGCGCTGATTGATCACTCACTCTCGCCTTCAGCACGGACGTACACACACAGTCCAAAAAAAAGGTTGTAACCTGCCCCTGGCGTACGGGCGTTTATTTTGCAATGTATGCGTGGTAATAACACCCGCTACAGCTAGGCTAAGCAGGAGTGTGGGGGAGGCAGCGACGCAGAGGATATCGTTTCATGACACCCTCCACCAGCAACACCGGCAGCATCAGCAGTAGCCCACGCGTAGATGGAGGGCAACAGTCACTGCAGGGCATGCACACCCGAAGTGGCTTCCTCCGGGGCAGAAATGCTCTGTCAGAATAATTTTTTTTTTTCTCTGCCGTACCAAGTGCAATTAAACGCAGTTGTGACTGTGCGTGTGTGAAGAAATTCAAAATAAAATAAAATCAATCAAAAGTACGAAAAAAAAAACCAAGCAAACCCCCAAGAAGCAAATAAATATTATTCACACATGCACACCCAGAGAGAGAGAGAGAGAGATACGTGTGTGTGTGTGTGTGTTTGCGTGCAAGCGGACACGGAAACACAAGGCCCTGGTTGGACCTAAGAAGACATCATTGCCTCCCGCGCTGACACCTCTGCGTGAACAGCCATCTGCAGGCCTTCCATAAATGCCGCGAATGAAATGGGATTCGATTCGGCACCGCAGCCGCCCATCACGTGTTGGCTGTACGCCAAGAAGGGAAGCTTCTTCAGGGTTCTGCCACTGAACGCCTCACACTGCATCGCGATGGCCTCCAGCTGCAGTAGTTCGCTTTGGTCCAACTCCCTTCCACGGGTCTCGGCTAACGGCCACTTCTCCCCATTGGCGACTTCCGCAGCAGAGGAAGGTGCCAGCACAACCAAACCTCGTCGAATCACCTCTTGCGTGCCCGTCTTCAGAAGCTCCAATCGAGTCTGAAAGCCCGGCGCGCCAATAAAGATTTTTTTATCCGCACGGTCAATAAATGCCACGTCAACGGCGCCTGTGATGTTGCTGGTAGCAAACACCACCACGTTAGGTCGGCGCTGCAGTCTGTCTAACTGCGTGAGAAGGGCGTTGACGACACGGATTGCATCTGATGGCTCATTTCCCTTCATAGCGGATTGCCGCACTGCCGCCAAACTCTCCACCTCGTCCACCAGCACGCAAAGGAGACAGTCTGGTTTCTCCGCCATGTCATGAATGTGGTTGAAAAGCAGCATGACTTGCTTTCCGCTTTCACTAAACCAACGACTAAAGAGGCTGTGTGCATTGATCTCCAGCAATTGGGCGGAAGGAAACATGTCATTGAGACGAATAGACAACTTGTGCGCCAGGGCTTTGCAGAGCGACGTCTTACCTGTGCCGGGCGGGCCGTGAAGCAGGAGCAGTCGGTTCCATGCTACAAGATGCGGGTTCACACCGGCCCTAGAGAATACCATCGCCGTACGCATATACTGCAGCAGATCACGTTTGAGACGGACAGACTCGTTCCGTGTTTCGCCGTAGTAGAGGGATTCCCACAGTCCCTCCAACGAGGCGTTTGGCAACGACAGCACGCTGCAGGGAGCCAGCGTCGCGCCGGCGTCCCCGTCGAGCTCCGCTGAGTTCAATAACTCCCCACAACTTTCATCGGTGCACAGTGTGTACATCACCATGGCGTAGTCCGCCCCTTCGGCGGGGATGCCGCGCTGCGGACAGTACACATCGCACACCCGAAGCAACTCCACCGTGGAGGTTATGAGGTCCGAGGCGGTGTCGAGCGAGAGGACTTCTCCCGGGCGAAGAAAGGCGTGACGGTGACGTATAAAACTGATAATGACTTTCGACAGCTCTGCCCCGTTCACACGCAGTGCACGGCATCGCACCTCCACCGGCACGACTGAAACTTCTTCCATGAGCCCGTTCACACTGAGCGCGTCTTTCTTATTGTGAAGCAAATAAAAATACCACTCCAACAAAACGAAGAAAATCGGAAATGATGACCCGTGCCCTCTTGCTTTCCGTGTGTATTTGCGTCAATGTGTGTGGTGCTGGCCGCTGATCACCCCGCGGCAGGCACGCACGCAGACGGAGAGGACCAAACAAATCAACCCCCTTCGTGATCCCCTTTCACACACACACAATGGGCCCTTCCCGTTGCCTACAGCGGTAAAAAAGAAGAAGGGGGATGGGAAGGGAAAAGAGAAGCAGGGTGGGCCCGAGCAAACAAAGGAGGAGAGAGAACCACCACGCCGCAGCTTTCCGGTGGAGGGCGGAGGGGGGAGGGGGATCCAAAAGAAGAACGACGGCGTCCGCCCTACTCTCGTTTAGCGCGAGTCGCCGTCATCACAGCCGCCTCTCTGGCGGCAAGGGAGCGCGTGGACAGAGAAGCGCTACAAGAAAGTCGCCACCACCACCACCACCACACCAAACAACACGAAGACGACATCACTGCCTCCCTCCCCCGCCTACTCAATCGGCACCACGCCATCCTACCGCGTGCTTCTTTCTTTTTTTTGTTGTGTGTACACGTGTGAGTGCGTCCGTTTATTGTTTTACCTTCGTGCATGCTTCCACTCCGTTTCCTCTCTACACAATAGGAATCGAACTCAATTCATGATGCCCAGCGGTGCGCACCGCCCATTCATAGCTCCTGGTTAGCTCCTGCAACCACAAGGTTGACTGCTGCTGCTGTTCACTGCTACTCGCGGCGTTAAAGTGTGTGATCCATTGAACTCCGAGGGCGCGGCGCACCACCGCCCAAAACGCCGCATCACCTGTGAACAACTCAGGCAGCGCCTCCACAAAGAGGGAAAGGTCCTGCACTACTCGCTCCCCACTCCATGCGGCACGCTGACGTCCCAACACCTGCGCCCCGCCATCTTCCCTCGACATAGTTTGTAGAAAAGCTTTTACTGGCCCCAGTAAGTACTCCTCAACGCCTCTTCTATTATCAACGGATTGACGGGCTGTGCGAAGAATCACAGTCCAGTCCAATAATGAGAGTTCCTCCTGCCGAAACTCCACCAGGAAGGAAAGGAGCTGTCGGTATACAAGTGTATCGACGCACGCCACGGCGCCAGCGCACTGCACACTCTTCACAAAGACGGTGGTCGGCATCTCCTCCGCGCGCTCCAACACACCCCGCGCCAAGGCACTCCAGGCGTGTCTAAGCTGCGTCGGCGTCACACGCAGCGTGGGAGCGGTGCTGTGTGTGACATCGAGAAGATTACCATTCTGCTGAAGATCGGCTTGAGCTTCATGGTTCTTTGCAAAGGCGTCGGCAGAAAGGGCGACTGCCACAAGAGCCCTATCTATTTCCGCAGGTGCAAGGACGTTACGCGCCTCGCGAAGAAACGCTGCGGCGCCTAAAAGTGCGGGTCGTGTGCTGGGCAACGCGGAGCAGCCGACAAGAAAGAGGTTGAGGTGGCGGTGCAGCAGCCGGCGATCTGAGCTAGCACGCTGCAGCAGCTGGTCCAGGTTCAGACCTCCCGTCTCCATTCGCAGACCCAGCCTCCGAAAAGCCTCAATGGCCACAGTCGTGTTGACAAGCAACTTCAGTCGTGGGACAGGGCGAAGAAGCTCACTCTGCACGTACGGTGCGAGGACGCGGATGAGTCGCATCGTCTTCGCCTCTAGTGAAACGGGTGGTGTCTGGTCAACTTGTTCCAATAAAGTCGCAGGTCCCACTGCTGACCAGGTGTAGCTCTGTGCGGAGGAGAGGTGAACGCCCAATGCGTCGGCGCTTGCAGCCAACCACAAAAACAAAGTATCACACCCCGTGAAATGGGCCCCATCAAAGCTTACAGCTGCCTGCTCGGCGTAATGCAAAAAATGCTCGTATGCCTCCTGCCGAGAAAGAGAACGTGTCGAGAAGGAGGGTGCAAGTTTTATGTAGGCCACCAGGGCATGACACGCAAGAACATCTTGCAACTGCTCCCGCCGCATAGCTCCTTCCACCTTTTCCGTAACAGCCACATTCTCTGCCACAGCCTGCTTCTTCCTCATCTTCCTCTTTTTGGAACTTCTCGCTGCCGTCTGTGCAAATGACTTTAATAGCATCCACGTTATTTCGTGTAGCGGGTCACTTTGGCCATGTGACATGGCCATATCGTCACTGCAAAGCGTGTGCTTCACATTCTTCCCCGTTACATGAGGTTGCCGCGTTAGGGCAGCATCTGACCAACCTCCATCGTGCGGCGCCGCAAAGGAGTAGCACCGGAAGAGCACAACACTACACACAAAGCGATGGTGACGGCAAACCTGAAGGTCCTCCTCCAATTTTTGTACTGCACCATCGCCTGTTGTGGCGCCGGCTTCCTCGTTATTGCTGAAGGCGTTGTATGCATCATCTAATATGCTGTACGGCGCAAGATGCAACAAAACGGCTTCAAGGAGGGAGCTCCACGGCAATCCGCATGCGTTGCGCGCAACCTCAGCTGAAAGGATTTTCTCCAGACGCAGAATAGAATCCGCAGTCACCGTAGGTGGAGTAGTAATGGCATTAGTGCCGGCAGTAGCAGCAGCAGCAGCAGCATTTATTCCTTCAATATTTTTCCTGCTGACGACACTACCGCTACGACCATCATTGTTGCTTTTAGTGTTACCGCCACTGTTCCTCATGTCCTCTCCTTCGCCCTTCAACGATGGTGTGAGGGTCAAAAATTCATTTGAGAGTGACGTCACTGCCAGAGTTTTCAGTGCTGGGAGACGGCAAAGCATGGCTCGGGAAAGCACCGTCAGAATCACCTCCAGCTCAGGCAGAGTGAACACTGCCTGACAGGAACGCGCGGCAGTTCCATCGGCCGAAGAAGCATCTTCAACGGAATTCTGCTGTTGTTGTTGCTGCTGCTGCTGCTGCTGCTGCTCGGCGTTAACGAGCGGATGACCCCGATTTTCTATCAAGTGCAGCAGCTCTCGGCAGCACTCCATAAGGTCGGGGGGTGTCGATGACAGACCTGCGTCTGCCTCCCGCGAGGATCGTTGCCAGCCGCAAAGCAGTGGATCATCCAGCGGCGGCCGCTCCGCCAAGAGCAAAGCTGCTCGCCGATCCAACCAATCGCGCAGCATTTCATGAGATTCGTCGTCACAGATATTCTGAACTTCCCTTCGGAGACTCAGCAGGAAGGCGTCTCCAGCTGTGTCGCTAGGGCGAAATTCAAACAACGTGTCAAGTAGACGATGTGCCAGCGGCGCCCCCTCCGCGCTCAGTCCTTGCACGACAGCTGAGATGGCCTCTTTGAAGGCGCCCCGGATTGCAACAGCCGCGGATGACGCTTGTCCTGCCACCGCCTTCCCTTCCGCCGTGTTTGCCTTTGTGGTCGCACCGGATGCAGCCTCCAGACGCGCACCATCGTCCGATGGGCTTAGGCGGCTGCAGTGAAGGATAAAGGCGCTGGTGTAGACCGCCTCGATAATCCGCGTGCACGTTGCTTCCAACGGCCGCGTAGTGCTCGTCGCACCCACTTCTTTCAAGGAGATAATAACTAGACGTGTGACAAACCGCTGGAACACCACATCAGAGGTTAGACTGGCTATTAAGGGCTCCACAAAGTGCAACGCGCCCTTCTCTCCCGTTCCTTCCCTGCTCTCGGAGTCGCGGAGGGTGGCCTCCACCAGCGGTCGGGCAACACCACAGAGCCACGCACCCCACAACAACTCCCTCCGTTTCGCGTTAATGGCACCCCAGATATGTGGGACGACGTTGTGGTACCTGCAGAAGAAAAGTCGTGTTAGAGCATATGGCGTCTGGGCGCCTTGCGTAAGTCGCTTCAAAGCCGGGAGACATGCTTCCGACACGCGCAACAAAATCCACTCGCCCCTTGCCAGCTCACTGCCAAATCGCTCAGTCACAAAGCGATCAACATCCGCAATGGCAATACCGGTGGCACTCACATAACGACCATGCGGCGAAGTACGGTGCAGATTCGCAGAATTGGTTTGCTGCAGCCATATCAACAAACACTCGTAAGCCACACGCTGCTTCTCTTTTGAGCCGTACAAAACACATGCAACTTCTTTAAGTGAGGGAAGCGTTTTTGCGCTTGTTTCTGCCGCGGCCACCAGCACCTCTTCAGGTTGTGCCTCCCTCCCGTTACTCTGGCCCTGGCTTGCGTCACCGATTGTGTCTGGCACCTCACTGCGAAGAAGCAACTTCCGGACAAAGTTGGAATTCATGTCCAGCACAGACGGCCAGCAAAGACGACGGATCCGTTGCGTGTACAAATATATTTGGTAATAATTCATGCTCACCTCTCTGGCCAAAAGGGCACGCAAGTGAAAGTACGTCATCCATGACGCGGCCTCCATACTGAGGTCACGGGAAAACCAGGGATAGGTAAATTGGAGCATAACAGACAGCTGATCTCCACATGACAAACGGGGCCAGTTCCACAGGCACACACGCATTAAAACATTTAACATGAGGTCAATGACATGCACACAAGGCTCTGTTGGTGCACAAGACGACACCACCCCTGCCCCCACGCAATCGATACGAGGAATACGATTCAGTAACATTTTTGACGTCGCTTCAACTGTCAGTTGTGCCTCATTTACATCAGCCACAACCTGGAGCGTTGGCGCCGCATTTTGCGTCTTCCTTGTAGCCGCATAGAGTGCAGAAAGCTCAAGACGCAGTCGTTCCACCACAGACCCTGCTTTCCACTCCATCAGCTCTGCATCCTTTACCCATTTGAAGTATGCAACTGTTTCCGTGAGCTGTACAATGTCAGCAATAGGAACGCTGTTTAAACATGCAAAAAGACTCTTCAAACCAGGCGTGATAGTCCCCCATGGGAGAGTGAAATCCGTGTCATTGGTGCAACTGTTCACACACTTGCCAGAATCTGCAACTACTCCTTCGGTCTCTGTGCCATCCACCGTTTCCATTGCTTCCAAGAGTAACTCTCCGCTGTCTTTGTCCATGCTGCGTTCAGACGACTCTGGCATGCGCAAGAGGGCCTCTATGGGTGGTGGGGGAAAGCAGATTGGCGTCGCGTAAAGCGGCGTGTCCGCTGACAACAGAAGTAAAGGAGCGCAGACGTCTCCGTCATTGGCAGTAGACGCGTTGCTGCTAACCCTCACTATTATCGCAGAGTCATTGCTCATCTTGTTAGTTTCGTCAATGCCCCCTCTTCGACAGAGCGCCAACCCCAATGGCAGCAGGGACTCTGCACAAACCACTGAAAAACTCTCCAGAACCTGATGGTTCTGCTGAAGACATTCGTAGTTGCTCCGCATCGCGGCATGTACTTTAAGCAGCTTCTCAAACGCGGCCAAAGACATACGTGAGTCCACCTCCTTTTGCTTCCCTCGTGGATGGGCGAGAGCTGTGATGCCCTGACCGGTGCAACGCTCCAAAGGTCTTTCTGTGAGTGCGACATGACGATGCGAAAAGCGGCCGGTGGTCGCCGCCGAGACATTTTCAGTCAAACGTGTTTCGGGTGTCACCGCCCCGTTGCGCTGCCGTCCGGCAGCACCGCCTCCGGCCTCGGTGTCAACCGCACGCGGACGCGGCACACGCCCATGCTGGCGACCGAGAGCTGCCGCGTTTCTCCACTCCCCACGATGGCCCTGACGTGGATTTTGCTGGTGCCTCCCTTCTTGCCGTTCTCGCTTCGCCTGCCCTGGCGACGGTCCCTCCTGCCGCTGGCTTCTGTGGGCGAATTGCGTGAAGACGGCAGTGGCGGCGGCGGCGGGGGAGTGAGAGAGCGAGGGGGAGCGGCCGCGTTCGCCCGCCGTGGAGGTTCCCGCCGTTATCGCGCAGCGCCACCTCGAGGCCCCGAACACCCGACGCATGCCCCTTCGCCTTCTTATTCCGCCGCTCTCCACCTTCCTCTGCCTACACCGCACAACCCGCATAAAAAGGGAAAAGTGAAGCAAAAACGCAGTGAAACAAAACCCACGTCAGAAAATTTTTACCAAAAAGAAGAAAACAACACAATGTCATTGCCACAGCGACGTCGGGAAGAAACACGGCGGCGGAAACGCGCGTGCCTCTCCCCTGTTTCTTTCACTTTGCCTGCGTTTGGCTTAATCCCGCAAAATGTTTGTCGTTTCTTTTTTTCTTTCTCTCTCACTTTCTCTCGCTCCATCGTTATCTCTTCGCCGCACTCTTCATTCAGGCCCAACAGGCCCTGCGCACACCGAAGGCAGGAAACCACCCAGCTAATATATTTACACACACACACGTACATATATATCTGTTTTGCTTGGATGTGGTGCGTGCGCGCCGGGTGGAGCCCAAGTTATAAGTCACAAATGAGCGCACACGCCGGTACAAGGGGCTTGGGTCCCTCCGTTCATATCACCCCCCGCTACATCAACAAAAGTGAAGGGAATGAAAAAAATATATATATTCATGACAGCAAAAGACACGGCGAAAATGAAGAGGCTGCAGCAAAGACTCACACACACATTTTGCATATGAGGCGGTGTAAAAATAGAAATTACGGGGCGCATAAGGGAGCAGCAAAATGACAGCTACAACAAGAATAGAGAGACACAGCTGATTTACGGGAAGTCTGACTGATATTGTGTGCTTGTCTGTCTCTGCTGCTTCTCCACTAATTTCCCATTCATTCTGTTTAGATGTTTCTGTCTGTCTCTCCTTCTCCTTTTTCTTGATGATTTCTTTTGGACTTCTTGGTTCTGTCGTTCACCCCCCAGAGACATATATATATATATATATATATATATGTGCAAAAATAAGCGATGTCTATTTTTCTCCCTTATCCCTCTTGCAGCGGTGGCGTGCGAGTCCTACAAGGCCTTGACACTGCATTGCACGTGTATGAGCGTGTACATGTGCCCCACTCGGCCACAGACACGTACACAGATATATATGTATGCGCACGTGCTCTTTTGCCGCGTCGCACGGCTTACTTCCGGCTGTCTTGCGGTACATCCTCGGAAGCAGCAGCAGCTGACGGCGGCGAGTTCGCGGCGGCGGCAGCAGGGGCCGGCATGCCCAGTGGTCCGTCCTTGCCCTTCTCCCAGTACTTCGCAAAGTACGCCCAGGAGTTGAGCAGCAGTGACACCGCTTTTCCCTCGGCGGAGTTGATTTGCTCTTCCGTAAGGCTGTTCAGCTCACTCCATGCGTCTAACTCAATCCGCTTCTTCCCATCTGGGCCACCACCAGTCTGATGCAACCGCTTCAGCTTGTTAACACGCATGGCTACATCGAGCGCCGTCACTCCGCTCTCGGTGGTTGTGTTGCTTGCGCTGCTGCTGCTGCTCTTCTCCGGCGTTGCCGGGGTCCCTGCGGTAATGCGAAGAAGCGAAGAGAAGTGCAGGCGACGAGGATGATGATTTAGCGGCGTCTGAAAAGCAGCCGCTCCTGTGTTTCTTAACGCCAGCGTCCTTGAGCTGGCGGTGGCAAATGTGAAGCATGCCAGCTGCTGTCGCACGCCGTACGCGGGGCGATGACAAACCTCAAGGAGGGCCGCCATCCTACTACCCCTTCGCATCCCCACACTTTTAATGTTCTCTCCTTTTTCTCCCTATGCTCTTGCTTTTTTTTTTGTCGCTGCTTTGCTTAGGCGCAATGTCGAGTCAGTGCGGTACTCAATTCTTCCTCCCCCTAAGTTGTGTAGACGTGTTATGTATGCACGTGCCCCTTCGACGCTTCCTTGTGTGCAGACTCGCTCACGGCGCGTGGATGTCGTGGATAGTGCGCGCCACCGATAGAGTGGGAAAACCAAGACACAACACGCCGCGTGGTGGGCCGAGGGCGTGCGCGTGAGGTGCAGGAAAAGGGTGAGAAAAAACACAGTTGCACTATTCAATCTTGTGCGTGTACGCCCACATGCATGCGTCCCCCACGTCGTGATAGGGATAAACCAACCTGTACACATCACACAAATGCAGAAATATGTATGTATATATTTACTACTTCTGTGTTGATGTGTGTGCCAAGAGAAGGTCGACGCCAGCACCATACGAAAGTTAACAAAACCAAAGCAACTATAAAAACGACATAAAAGAATTCATACAGGTCGCACATGGGAGCATTGATGTACGTACGCGTATGTATTGCATGTGTGTGCGTGGTATGTGTTTTTCTTCGTTATTTTCGTAACTCCGCTCCCTTTTCCCTATCGCTCGCCCTCTCCTTCTTTCTTTCCTTCCTGCTCGCTCTCTTACTCTGTAGGTATATGCGTGTGTGTAGTTGCGCATGTACATATATATATGTATATGTTTCCTTCATTAGCGCTCCACACCCCGAGAGCTTCACCCTTCATTTTTTCTGCTGCCATCTCTGCAAGGCGCTCGGGCTCGCGGCCCACCTCAGCGCTGGCGCCTCTCTGGCATGCGGCATCGCACGTCACGCGGCCTTCCCACGGTTCGCTCCTCCCGTACTTCGTCTCGTCGCACTCTCCCTTTTCCCTTGACGGCCTTACAAATAGGCCTCAATGCAACGGACCATATCTTCACACTCTGCCTTCAACTGCGTCGCCGCCGCCTGACGCTTCTCCTCGGAGACGGTGTCAAGCGGCATGAATTCGGTCAGATGCATGACCGTGAGGCGCAAGCGATCGGACGCCTCACTGCTCGCTGCGTTCGCGGAGCTCTCCTGCTTTACCCGCAGTCGCATTTGCACCGGGCGGTTTATACGCATCTGCGCAATTTTAGTGACGAACATAGGGTCCGCCTCTTGCTCCTTCTTGAGCTCAGAGGCCGACATCCCAAAGAACTCCACGCCTGCCTCATTGAAGAGGGTAAGCCACATCTGTGAGAGGTTGTCTGAGGCCTGGATGGAGACAAGGTAGCGCTGCGTGGGGACCACCTGACGGTCGCACTTCTCACAGCGATAGCGGTCGCCCTGCGCCCCTTCCAACGTCACCTTTTTGTTGCAATTTGGGCACGCGTCGTACCACTGTGCATCCTGCTTCAAATACACCGGCACGCAACGCACATCAATGTAGTCTGCCTTGGGGCCCCGGCCGAGCCCCTCCGCGGCGATGTCGTCAAAATACTTTCGACCACGATTGTTCTCGCCACCCGCATTGGCGCCGCTCCCCGCGCCCACGGAAGAGAGCGACGACACATCGCGTCCGCCTGTGGAGATGTACCAGTCGGAAAGTTTCTTGACATCCGGGATGTTTGGATTCACATCAAAGGCGGATTGAAAAGTCGCGGAGAGCGTCACGCCGTCAAAGCTGCCCACCTTCAGCTGGCGCATCGCTAGCACGGTGCCTGGCACGTAGGTCCACCCCTTCGCCTGTTCGTTCCAGAGCGTCACTTCGACCGCCGCCGAGCTGTCCCCCACTTTCACGTTCCGTTTGACCAACTCTCGTCCTGTGGACTTCTGCGTAATGGAGCCAAGCTCGTCCACAGAGAGCACCACCGCCAACACATCCACGAGCGACCCCACCTCGCGCTGCTTGAGAATATTAATGGGCACAAAGTTGTAGCGCTGCAGTGGAATTGCCACGCTGCTGGTGTCACGTGCCAAGGAAATCTGACTCGAGCTATCAAAGGTCAGCTCGTAGTCATTGTTAACGTTGCTGAACTTGCGATTTGCGTTCTTCACTTGGCCACCACTGAGGTAATACACCTGGCCGTTCACAATGAGAGGGTTGAAAAGGTCCACGGCGTCGTTGAAGACTGTCGCACGAATAGAGGCGGATTCATCAATAAGAGTAAATGAGAAAAGTTTGCCCTGCGACGTCGGCTTATTCCACGTGCGCACATCCGATTTGTCCGTCACGCGGGCCCGGATCCACCACTTGCCGCCCAGGAAGGGCGTCAGGGAATCAATGGGCTGAATCTGCTGGTTGCTCGGGTGTTGCATGTGACTTGCTCCTCTCAATTTGCGTTCTCTCGCCGTGTTTGTGTATGTGAGCGTGTTTGTGTGTACAATGTTAACATTGGCGGGAAGAAGAGAAGAAAGAGGGCCTCAGGGGGTGTGGGAGGCATCAAACGCATACATCAACATAAAGGAGACTCAAAAGATAAGACGCGTCGGTGCTTCACCTCCACCCTACACAGGCGTCAGCACCATTGGAGAGGGTTGCAATGTAGCGTGGCCTTGCCGGACACATGCCGCTTCCACCTTCGGTTTGTGCCGGCGGGCCCTGGTGCAATCGCCATCGCAGCATCGTGTGTGCCAGTCGCAGCGAGAGCTGCGATGCCCGTAGTTCCTCTTTCCTGTCAAACCCCGTTCAACGAGGCAGGTGGTGTTGGTCAACATGGCAGAAGCCCCCCCCCCTCCCCCGGGCAGTATCAGTTCCCAGGCCTGCCTGCCCGCTTCCCTCTTGCATGTGCGACGTCCATGGCCCTCGGGACCGGCGGCACGGCGTAGATAGAGTGAGAGAAGAAAAGAAGCCGGGGACGGTTCAAAACGAGAGGAGGTGGGGCAGAAGACGCCGGGCATATAAGTGGCCGGTCTGAGCAACACAGGGGACAGAGACACGCAGGCCGCTCATCTGCTTGTAGTTACAACTTCACAGGATAGTTTTTTTTCCCCCCCACTTGTCCATCTCGTTACCAGCATCACCGTCTCACCACATTGAGGGATATGCAGCGAAGAAAGAAAAACAAGGACGAACACAAAAGAATGCCTCCCACAAGGTACCGGAACGCATTTTAGGAAATATCTTTCTATTGCTCCATCTACTTTGAAATGGCACCCCCACCCACACAGCCACGCAGAGCCATAGTAACAAAACGGCTCTTCGGTGAAGGAAAAACAAGAGAAAAACAGAAAAATCCCACGGAGTCTATTCTAGTTCCGAGTTACTTTCTCCCTCTCCTCTCCTCAACGACACACATACACACGGACAGACAGACAGACAGACAGACAGAGTGACAGAGCGAGAGAAGAAGCTGCATATTTGTTTATTGCGGACGTGTCTAGAGTTCACTTTTCGGCCCCTGTGGGTCGCTCAGTAGTTCTTTACACGCTTCATGGAGGGGCCAACGACGGTTTGGTTAACGCGACTCGCAAAGCGGAGCGAATTCAGACTTTCCGCCATGTATTCCTCCTTGTCTGAGACGGTGACCAACATCAGCATCTTCCCACCCTTTGCCCCCAGGTAATTCTGCAGCAGGTAGGTCAACTTGCAGTTGCGCCACGGTGCGACGCTACCAGAGTTGTTAAGAGCACGGATGCATTTCCCAAGGTCCAGCAAGCTGCGGTTGATGTTGATGGTCTCCTTAATCTGCTGTCCCTGCCCTGTCCCCGACTCATTCATGCGCTCGCTACCCGCCAAGTCCACCAGGCAGAGCGTCCCCTCACTACGTTGCCGCAGGAGGGCGTTTTCCCCCTCAATCCGCAGGACAAATATGCAGTGCGAACGCGAGGAGTGATCGTTCAAGAGCGTTTTAGAGGTGCTACGATTCTTCATGGCAGCCTTGTAATGGCGCTGAAACTCCTCGAGGGAGCGGATGCGCCGCTCCACAACGTTGGTGACACTGGTCGACCCAGATTCGTTCTGGTGCTTGATAACGTGATAGTTCGCTTGAGAGGCGGCCGCCCCGCCGGGTTCGTACAGCGACGGCTCCTGCTGAAGGTCGCGAATGACATCGTTGTATATTTCTATAAAGTAACAGCTGAGATTGTACTTCCAGCCATCGGACTTCAACTCGTCCTGGCGTCGGAATATGGTGCGGAGCGCGCGAGGGGTGATTCCACACCTCTCTTCACTCAACACCTCTCCCTCCATGCTGTAGGTCTTACCAGACCCCGTCTGGCCGTACGCAAAGATGCAGACACGGTAGCCATCAACGGCGCAGTTTACAAGCGGCTCCACATCAGCGTAGACGGCCGCTTGTGTGGCGCTACCATCAAAGACGCGGTCAAAGGTAAACGTCTCCTTGGCCTCCTGCGTTCCTGTGGAGGTCGCGTTGTTCCGTGATTGACACAGGCACAGCGTCTGTTGAACCTCTTCGCCGGCCTGCGGAAAGAGGAAGCGACTGTGCAGCGTCTTTGCTTGTCCTCCCTGTAGTTTTTGTCTCTTTACCTCAGCTCCTCTTCCCACTGCCACAACAGGATTATGCAGCCCCTCCGTCGACAGGCTGATTGTGCTGCGTGAAGAAACGGAGACCTCGCGACAGTTCTCAAAGGCCGGGAAAGCCTCATTATTGCTACTGTTACCGTCGCCCTTGACGCGACAGTACACGCGAATGGTCCCCTTCAGCTCTTCACACTGGGAGTACAACTGTCGTCGGAGTATCTCCGTTTCCTTTGACGCGCGCTCAGCTGCCTCCCTCAACTTGCGTATCTGCTCCAGCTCCACCACCATCTCCCGCACCTCTCCAGAGAGGCCGTAGGCGACATCTTGCATAACCCGCTCTCTCTCAAGCACGTCATTCAGTTTTCTCTGTTCCTCTTCTGTCACTAGCCGTTGCGTCTCCAGCGTCTTCTGCAACTGCTCCAACGCATCAGACTGCACCACAATGTCCTCTTGCAGGCGTTCGCGTGCCTGCTCTAATTGAACATGACGAGTTTGCAGCATTGTAATCTCATCCATCGCCCGTTGCTTCTCTGCAAGCGTTGCATCTTCTCTTCGATGCAGCTCCGCAAGCAGCTCAAGATGCTTCCGCCTGTGCGACTCACTCTCTGCGGCCACGGCCGCAAGCTCCAGTTCATGTGAGGCTACCATCCTTTCAATGGCGTCCAACACTGTCTCGTTTTCCTGCGACTTTTGTGCGTAGAGATTGGCAAGCTGGAGGAGTTGCCGCTGCACCACCGCCGTTTTTCGCTGCCAGAGCAAATCCATCGCCGTCGTCGGCGCAGGCGAAAAAGTAACGGTCGCACCATCCCCAGCAGGGGCAGTTGCGGCAACACTACTAGTCAGCGGCGGACGCCGCACGGTGAACCCACCGCCGCTGCCTTTATGCACAGGCAGAATATTACCCTCATCACTCTGCCGTGGCCGCTTCTGCGCCCGCTGCCGCATCTACGATGGAACGAGGCGGAGACACAGGATATTCGCCCAGGCCAACTGAAAGCAAACAACACGCCAAAACGATTAGTTGTCTTCCCTTCCCCCTCCCC